TGATCGATGTCTTGAGGTGTGGCAACCGTAGTATAAGCTTCGCGTCGTGGCCGCATCACCACCTCGGGTGTGCATTATTTTTCTAATAATTCAACGGCCCGTCGTCAATTATTCCTTACATAAATGTGACACTGAAAAAAGAAAGCACACTGGCCACTATGGGCTGATAAAACATATACAGCAGCTTCCTACAGATGTCAAAAGACCTGCGCCTCTTCAGAAGGTAGAGTCTACTCTGGCCTTTCTTGTACTGTGCCATTGCGTTGTCCATCTAGTCCAGTCTGCTGTTCAGGTTTACCCCCAGATACCTGTAGCCCTGCACCGCTTCCACTTCCCCCCTTATGTGGTGATTGGTCACAGGGTCTCCCTGTTATGCCAGAAGATCAACACCTGCACTTTTGTCTTGCTGATGTTGAACTGCAGGTTGTTCTCCATGTACCACAAGATAGAGTCCTCTACTAGTCCTCTGTACTCTGGTTCATCTCCGTTGCAAATATATCCTACAATGGAGAAGTCATAGATGGCAAGAACTGGTGTACTGGAAGACAAGGGTGAACAGGAAGGGAGAGAGGACGGTGCCCCAGTGCTGCTCACCACCAACACAGATTCCCCAAGCTTCACAAACTGTCATCTGTTACTTAGGTACTCCATGATCCAGGAGTCTGTGGGGACATCAAGCTGCATTGTCCTGAGCTTTTTTCCCAATCAGAGAGACTGGATGGTGTTAAAGGTGCTAGAGAACACTTGTGAAGCAAGTATCAGAGCATCGTCCATACCTGTGTGTGCCTGGCAGGAAAACTGCAGGGAATACCTTCTGGTCTATTACCAGGAGTCAGAGCTATTTCAGTACCAGCCTCTCAAAGTCTTCATGATATGTGACATGAGAACAACTGGAGTCCTTAAGGGAGCAAGAACAGATTCAGGGAAGGACCCGCAGAGCTGGCAGGCATATTCAGCACTCTGGGGCTGATTCCATCATGCCCTGCAGCCTTGCCTGTGGAGAGGTTCCCAGTTCATTCCTCATCTGATCCATGGAGACAGACAGACTGGGAAGTGCATTGGAGGTGCAGGCCTTCTCTACCAGTTCTTATATTGCATTTTGTTAATTGAAGTGTATACTACATTCTATCCATGCCATTTAATATGTAAGCAAGGAGCATTGTGGAAATAATTGCATTCTTAGCACAGAAAATATTTACCCAATAAAAGTTTTTTATTCTGTATTTTCATATTTCAGGCTCCATAATTATAGGTCTGTCCAGCTTGCCTGTGCATTTTACAAACATCTGATTAGTTTATTTTTATGTTCATTCAAAGTAGTATAACTAACATGAGATTTCACATTAGTATTATGTGTTAATCGCTGTTTAGACACAGCTGAACAAAATACATAAAAAAGTTAAATATTTGATACAGTAAACTTCTTCAGTGCTGGATTCATTTGCTATTTTTATTCAACCTTTAAAGACCGTCTACGTATAAGATTTATTTTATGCATGCTACTTGTCCGTGGATGCAACTCTGTCAGTTATGGAAGATATTACAGTGAATTCATACTTCATATTATGGCATGACTATAATATTGCAGTTCAAGTACATGACTATGATTTACTATCCTATTTTCTAAAGCCATATCGACTGAATGCCTTCTAAGCAGACTGCAATGTGGGACACATTCTCAGGCTTACAGTGATACGCAAACACTAGGGGTGGCACGGTTCACAAAACCCACGGTTCGGTTTGTATCACGGTTTTAGGGTCACGGTTTTC